CTTGCCGTTCTGATTCCTCAATTCGCAGTCCTGTTTCCTACATTTCTTGTTGTGGTTCCTGCGTTTCTTGTTGTGGTTCTCGCTCGTGTTCCTTCTTGTGGTTACACCCATGCCTCCCTGTAGCAATTGTGGCTCTTCTGAGTGGTAAGCAATTCTTGCGATCGTTCTTAACCAATTGATGGCAGAAGTCCTTGATTCCCAATTCCTGCAGGTGCCTGTAGCAGTGACATGGGTCGGCTGGTGGCAGGCCGCCAGTTCTGGCAGCTCGTCAGGTGTAGGCATGAGACTTCTGCCCACCAGAGCAGGAGACCCAGATGGTTCGCCTGCTTCCGTACAGCTACTTGGTGCTCATGGCTTAGGCAACTCGTAGCATAGGGTGCCACTGCTGTAGCCCTCCAGCAAGAGAGCTTCAGAGGCCGATTCCTTTTCTATTGGTGGCAGCCGGATCCAACCTTCTTGGGACTCGCGACTGGCTTCCCAGAGCATCTCGGAATAGTTGCAAGAGCCACGTGCTTCGCTGTTAGCTCCTTGCAGCACCGGTGAAAGGCAAGTGTATTTCGACCAGCGAAGCCTGAGCTTTGACCAGATTGTCACCAGCCAGTTCCTGGGTCGCGAGGGTGGTGACAGGAGTCAGGGCGTTTGTATCTTCAGGCTCTTGAAGTTCCAAATTCGGGGTTAGACCGAGCCATGCAACTCGACAGATGCACAAGTGGTGAGTCTTGTATAAGAGGGTTGATTCACATCTTCGGCTTTGGGACTTGCATTACAGAGGCATGCTGTTTTTGGGCCCATGTTGAAACAGCCTTGAACAGGTGGTGTGCGTGCAAGGGCGAGCGCCACTGCGACTTACGACTTGCACTCATTCTGGAGTTCATGAACATCATACGGTAGCGAAAACTGGTGTGCAATCATCAAACGCGCAAGGGCGGATTCAAGTCGTTGTCAAGGTGTATTGAATGGGCAGGCGTCGGGAGAGTAGGTTCTTTACTTCTACCGTCGACCATGCCGGGATGCTCCATACATACATACCATCCACCCATCCACCCAGCCAGCCAGCCACCCAGCCACCCAGCCAGCCATGCAACAACTGTGCGGGCCAGAAATCCTAGACTTGCAAAGGTGAAGTGGGATTGAAAAGCTGTCCGGCAGTGATGGGCTTGACCTGAGGCTCGTGAAGTGGACTGCACTTGCGGATCATGTGCCGGAGACCGGGAATCTCCTCAATGCCAACATGTTCTCTGCGGGTTTGCACCTAGATTCTCTTGCTGGGCTTGGTGTTGCTTAGGGTGCATGGTAGTGAGCCCTCTCAGAGAAGCACGCCCTTGCTGTGTGACATCATATTGACGGCCGAGTGAACATGCTCCACAACTACAACATGCTCGTGCCGATAGATTTGGTGTTGCAGGAAGTAGACTTCTTCCTTCGTGAATTCCAGCTGACGGACGAAGACATGCGCGACATGATGCCACTTGGACACTCCAGCAAAGACAAGCCATCGGCATACGAAGGCCCCCTCGCACAAGTCACTCCCAGTAACTGCATTCTGCGGGCTTGCTCCGCACAACTGGTTCATGTGTTCATGTCAATTGTCCGTGGTTGGCCAGAATAACAAACTGGAAACGTGCAGGGCTTGTAGTCCAGGTTTACGCAGGCGGATCAGCCGGACAGCGAACCCCACCAATGCAGTCAACTGAGAAGCATCAGGCTGGCCAAGGCCGACGGCGAAGATGATTTCGACATCGCATGCAACTGGCTGCAAAACAACACAGAGATTTGGAGAGGCAGGTTGGGCTGTTAGTGCGGATGTCCTGATTGGCGCATGAGTAATCTCAAGAGTGGGTAACCTTCGTTCATCATCAGATGTTTTGCTCGAAAAGCACGAGTCGCGAGCTGCTGCTTGCAACTGTCAAGCAGACACGAACTATGCCAAATATGTTACAATCGTCTGTAAGTTAAGAGCAGGTAATTATGCCACGCAGTTGCGATGTGTCAAGTTCCCACACGGCTCGCCTTTGTTGGTGCAGATTGGATGCCCGTGGATCCGGATGCGATGGGCCTTCCGGACTGTTGCTTTCGGTTTGTGGGTCAGTGGATGCGTTCTTGCTGTCCTGGCCCTGGTACTTGCAATTGTCCTTGTAATTGTCGTCGTTGCTGTCGGTCGTTTCCTTTGTGGCTGTCCTTTCCGTTGTCGTTGTCAAGGTCGTTGACCTTGTTGTCCTTGTCCTTGTCCTTTTCCTTGTCCATGTGGCGGTTGTGCTTGTGGTTGTGGTAGTTGTTGCTGTTGTCGTCCTGGTCGTCGTGGTTGTGATTGTGGTTGTGGTTGTCGCTGTCGCTGTCGTTGTCGCTGCTGTTGTTGTTGCTGCCGTCTTTGTTGTTGTTGTTGTTGCTGTTGTTCTTCTTGTTCTTCTTGTTGTTGTTGTTGTTGTTGTTGTTGCTGCTGCTGCTGCTGTTGGTGGTGTTGTTGTTGTCGTTGTTGTTGTTGTTGTTGCTGTTGTTGTTGTTGTTGTTGTTGCTGTTCTTCTT